TTGTTTACCTGTTGAGAGACTTGTTTAGCTCTCTCCCTCTATGCAATTGATAGAGAGAAAATAAAGCATCTGACTTGCTGTACCCAAACAAAAAGTGAGAACTGTGTTTTTCTCCGACAAAACTGAGCAGCTCCGTGCCCACCCTCCCCTGCAGCCGTTGTCACAAAACTTTTTCCCATGTGCCCCCCCCACACACACCACCAACACACTCTTATCAACCTTCTGCCTCCACTCTCTACCTGCAGCATTCCACTCCTCCCTCCTCACAGTCCAGCAGTGTGGACTCCCAATACCCACTGCACTCAACACCCATCCCTCTGCAGTTTGGCCCTGCTGAAGTACAGCCCCTGCTGCATCGTACTCCAAAGGAGAAGGTTGGGTATAATCCCTGGACATACACAAATCTATAGCCATCCCGGGACCCCTCCTCCTCTTGAGACCTTCCAGTCCCGCATCCCCCCTCCCCCTCCCGGCTGATGATTGTTTTCGTTTGACTCTCTCCTCTGATTGTTGTCTTTCAATAAAATAATTGTGTTAGTTTGAAATCAATCTTTATTCTATTTAGTGAAAGCAAAAAAAGCACTGGAAAGCAACATACAATTATGTTAAGGCCCCTTCTTGCATCATGTGCACCTATCATCTCCTAGCATTACAAGCACTGCAATCCCAAGCATAGCAACAAATACTAGTGGCTTTCAGCTTCAACTTGCTGCCTCAAAGCATCCTTGATGCTTATGGCTCCGCGCTGTGCCCCTCTAATAGCCCTGGTCTCTGGCTGTTCAAACTCAGCCTCCAGGCACTGAGCCTCTGTGGTCCAGCCCTGAGTGAAGCTTTCACCCTTCCCTTCACAAATATTATGGAGTGCACAGCACACGCTACAAGCATAGGAATATTGTCATCGGCCATGTCCAGCTTTCCTTACAGGCATCACCAGCGGGCTTTTTAACGGTCAAATGCACACTCCACAGTCATTCTGCACTTGCTCAGCCTGTTGTTGAACCACTCCTTGCTGCTGTCAAGTTGCCCTGTGTATGGCTTCATGAGCCATGGCATTAAGGGATAGGCGGGGGATCACAGTGGGCATTTCGACTTCCCCTAAAGTGATCTTCTGGTCCGGTCCCGGCTTGAAGCTTCTTGAACAGGCCAGTGTTCTGAAAGATGCGTGCGTCATGCACCTGTTCAGACCAGCCTGTGTTAATGTCTGTGAAATGCCTATGGTGATTCACAAGCACCTGGAGAATCATTGAGAAATACTCCTTGCAATTAATGTACTCGGTGGCTAGGTGGTCTGGTGCCAGAATCGCCCCTCCGCAGTTAGGGAAGCCATTTGTGCAAAGCCATCCACAATCTCACGCACATTGCCCAGAGTCACGGTCTTTCAGAGCAGGATGCGATTAATGGCCCTGCACACTTCCATCAATACGACTCCAATGGTTAATCTTCCCACTCTGAACTGGTTAGCGACCGAGCGGTAGCAGTCTGGAGTAGCCAGCTTCCACAGTGCAATCACCACACGCTTCTCCAGAGACAGGGCAGCTCTCATTCTCGTGTCCTTGTGCCGCAGGGCTGGGGCGAGCTCATCACACAGTCCCATGAATGTGGCTTTCCTCATGCGAAAGTTCTGCAGTCACTGCTCGTCATCCCAGACATGCATCACGATGTGATCCCACCATTCAGTGCTTGTTTCCCGAGCCCAAAAGCGGCGTTCCACTGTGGTCAGCACCTCTGTGAATGCCACAAGCAATCTCGTGTCGTAGCTAGTATGCGTGGTGAGAACAATGTCGCACTCATCTTGCCTTTGTAGTTTAAGGAATAACTCCACTGCCACTCGTGACGTGTTGGTCAGTGCGAGCAGCATTCTGGTCAACAGCTCGGGATCCATTCCTGCAGCCAGAAAAGGGTAGGGCAGGGCGCATAGTACACAAACCATTGAAAGATGGTGCCAAATGCGGACGGAAGCACAGGGATTGCTGGGATGCAAAGCAATGCGTCACGGGGCATTAGGACAGGACCTAGGATGTCACACGACCCCTTCCGCCTTCCCACAAGTCTTAGCGGCAAAAGAGAAAGAGGTGCTCTGTGGGGATAGCTGCCCAGAGTGCACCAAGTGTGAACATGCTATTGCGCAGGCAGCTGTCAGTGTGAACACACAACAGCGGTTTTCCTTCAGCGCTCTCTGAGTGGCACTGTAACTGCCGTGCTGTAACTTTGCAAGTGTAGACGTGCCCTAAGTATTGAGAACTGTGAGTTACCTGTAACATCTAGTAGGGTGAGAGAACGCTTGATTCAAATCTTGCTTAATCTGTAGAATTTAGGCTGTGAGTTTATTCTTATTTCTTATGTAACCAACTCTGAACTCTATGCCTGCTATTTATAATCGCTTCAAATCCATCTTTCTGTAGTTAATAAATCTGTTTCATATTTAACCTAAAACAGTGTGGTTTTGGTTGAAGTTCTTGGGGAATCTCAGCTCAGGTTAACAAGGACTATTTTACGTCCACTACTCTTTTGTAAGAGTGGGGAACCAATGAATGAGCTTGCACTGTCCAAGGAAGTCTTGAGCAGTGTAAGACGGTATATTTCTGGGGTGCAAGGCTGGGGACTGGGGTGATTTGTGGGTGCCTCTCTCTGCATGATTCATGAGTGGCTCAGGGAGCATTCATGCAATTTAGCTGGGTGTGGGGCTCCACATGCTGATGGCTGAGTGATCACAACACCTGGAGGGGTTTTGCTGCTTATCACTGGCATAGCATTGTATTAGACAACCCAGGCTGGAGAGGTAAGTGAGCACAGTGTTCCCACAGGTCCAGGTTGTACCCCAGGGATCCCGTCACAGACACAGTCGGTGTTATCTCCTGCTCAACTAAAGAAAGCCCATCAACACCAAACAAACAATTGTGGAACATCAGAGGACAAAAGACTTTGTCGATTGCTCTCTTCCCCCCGGGCCCCATGAAGAGGAGACGCGCAACTGAATTCTTCCCAACTGCTGAATTTGCAACTTGAAGCAGAATGGGGGAAGGAACAAAAAACCCTAAACAAGGAGAAATTGTATCTTTTATGGTGCTTGGACTTTGAGGGGCAAGAATTACTAAGCATAAGCAAAAGATCCCCAGGGCTTGGCCTGGTTAGCCCTAAAAGACATATAAAGCTTGCTTATCAGAGAAGCTTCTATTACTTTTTGAAACTTAAGATTGGAATCTTGGCATATATATATACTTGTATATGGGTGGGTTTCTAGACTAGGAAGGGACACTTCTGGGGGTGAGCAGACATGTCAAGTCTCACTTGTTGGGTGAGACTCCCTCATTAGCATGCTATCTCACTCTCACCACATTCTTAAGCTTCTCTCACTCATTTTGAGTAAACATATAAAGATTTAAAATATTTTTACTCAGGTGCTGAAATGGACAACAATATATCCAGGGCCTCAGCCACGTGGCTTAGAGCTTGGAAAGCCACTTCCCAAGCTTGTGTACTGTGGTACCCATGGAAATACAGACCTGTGTTCTAGACACCCATGAGAGATAGGAGGGCTTTTGTGTGTGTGTGTGTGAATACTTGACAGTCAAAAAAAATATGAGTTTGCCCAAAAATGAGGAGGACTTGATTGAAAGTTTGTAGGTTCTGCAAAATACAGTTCAAAATTAGAACTACACTGGACAAATTCATGGCCCTTCATTGTCCTGGTAGCAGGCAAGACTTCTTCTTTCAAATATACGCTGTGTCGCTGGGAGCTGTCCTAGTTTGCTTTGCATAGAGAATTCTCACGTGCCCTAGACTTTAGTTTGAATTGGGACATTTAAGTGTTGCATGTGCAATATTAAGCAGTGTACATTTTAAAACAAACTATTAAGTGCTGGTTGGATTAAAAACCTGGACTACTGGATGTCACCAAGGACCAAAGAGGAGAGTCCCTGTGTTAAGCAATGACTAACACACCACCTGGAAAGTCTCACTCTTTGGCCTTGAATCTTACTCTTTGGAGCTGTAAATTTTACTTTTGAGGATGGCCAACCCTTGGAATCTCTGGGCCAGTGCAATTGGAATTTACATGGGCTGATGTCCATCCTATTCCTCTGTGGTGGAGCAAAAGCCACCATGCTCCTTGACCATCAATCCAGCAATCTTCCTGAGCACTACAAATGCTATGTCCAGCACCACCTACCCAGGGGCTTGAAAGCACTTTAGCAATGCTCACAATCCACCCTGGCAGTTCTTATCCCAGGCACACTATGGCACAAGGAGCAGTGGCCCATCTCTGCCAGAGTATGTATCACACAGCAGGGCAGAAACCCCAGCTCTCTGGATGGTCACTTCTGAGCTCATCTGCATCTGTCACTGAACAGCGGAGACACTGAGAATGAGTGTGCTGCTTCCTTCCAGCCACTCCGAGAAAGAGAGACTGTGTCACTCAAACTTCAAACCCACAGATACTTGAAGTCTACGCAGAATCAAAGACCACTTCAGTTCTCTCAGAAGCCTGACACATCCAGCACTTTATGCTAGAAAGGTGCTTCATACACAACCATGGATAAATTGGTGAGTTTACATTTGATAAAATAATTGGGAAGATCTTTATTTTATTTACAAATCGGGGGGAGACAGGGGGAATATGGAGGGGCTTGTACTAGGAGAGACACTTATGTCAGAAATGTTGTGTTATGTCAAATTATCAGTAAGATTCATTCAAAAAGGTTAATTCCAAAAGTGAAAAAAATACATTTAAAATCCTTATCCTTCAGCTAAATAACAAAATATAAGCACCTAGAGTAGATAATCTAATCTAATAAAGATTTGATTACACAGACAGGTCAATTAAGTGTTGGAATTAAAATTTGAAAATATCCCAAACTGAGGTTATTACAAAAGTGAATAAATGTAGAAATCCTTTTAAACTGTGCATCCTTGGCGTGGTTGGAAATATTAACATTCATATATAGAAGAAAAATGTTCGTAATTAATTTCATTCGTCTAAACATTAATTTTGACCAACTGATGTCTCTGAACAGAGAAGTTAAAGTGAAAGGCATAAATGTGAGTAAAAGCAAAGATTCTAACCCCACACTTGTCAGAAAGTTTCCTTTCAGGCTGAATTTTTCTATGCTTGTTAGCTCAAATCTGGGGCGATTTTTCGTTTTGTTTTGCTTTTTGAAAGTTTGAGGAAAATCCCTTTGCTGTTTCTGAATTATGAAATGAGAAATTAAATTTCTCAATCCTTCAAAAAAATGAATTTAGCTCATTCTCTGTAACTCAAAGCAGATTAACCCTGTAAAGTTCAACCACAGTGGATAAAACGACCCGTCTAGAGAGGAAATCACTTTAGCTACGGGCAGTTTGAATTGTAGATGTTCGGAACATCTGAAAGTGCCTTAACCAAGCACAGGACACAGCTTCAGTACGACTCGCCCCTGTGCTGCGAGGCAGCGCAAGGACTGCGCTTGGGGCGACGTTCATCAAAGTCAGTGAGACATCAGATTCCGATAGCACTTAGGTGCGTTTGAAAAGCGACAAGTCCAGGGGCACAAAGGGAGGCTGTGGCAGAGCTGGGAACTGAGCCCCAGGCTAGCACACCGGCACTCCTTGGCAGAGTCACCATGGACTAAAGGGCTTTGGATACAGCATCCCCATCCCCATGGGCCAAGCGTATGGGAGGACGGGTTGGGAGGGGCGCGTGTGCTGCCACCGGCCAGGTTGCAGATGAACAGAGGACTCCAGGGCTCTCAATCTGGCATCTTTCGGGAGCACTGTATTTGCATTAGTTCCTGGAGGCTGAAATGCCAGAGGCTGCATGAACGCAAAGGCTAAGGGAAGGCTTTCCCGTCGCATTGACATTGTCCACTACGGGGGGATAATAAACATTAACTGCTGGACAGGTACCAGGAGCACGAGCCATGCCAATGAGTGACAGTCCCAGTCCCAGTCCCAGCAGAACAACCTGGGCTTTTACCATCCCCGCAGCCTCCACCTTGCAGGGTATCTGCCGCAACGTTGTCCCCCTGGCGAACAGGCGTCAGACTATTATACCCAGACATGCACATTGCTCTTTAATAGCAATAAAAACAGGCATTTCTGCAAGGACACACAGCTCTGTGTATCCCAACTCGGGCAGCACCGGCATTCCTGCCAGGCAGGGTATTCCCTCACCATCTGCTTCCAGCTCATTCTCCCGGGGAATGCTTTGTACACTCGGGACACTGGGTAAGAGACAGGGGCTGTAACCTGGGCTCGTTATCAGCCAAGAGAAACTCTCTGAAGTTATAAACACAGCACCTGGGGTTTGGGGTGACCATGCACACCCATCAGCAAGGAGAGTCAGCTAGGACTGAACTCAAACCATAGCGGGGGCGGGGGGAGCAGGACTGAGCAGCATCTCCATAGAGGCGGCAGTAAAGAGATCTGCTGATTCGGGTCAGGTATCAGGCTGTGTCGAGACAATAATAGTTAATCCAGCCCAGGGATGGTCTGCAGGGTGTCTGAAGGCTCGGGGGTCTTGCAGTTAAAGAGGGAATTTGTTGAAGGGTGTGGCGAATAAGGACATTGCCTCTATCGCTGAAACCAAATGTGCAAGTGAGGGCTCTGTGTTACGGACACAGGGTGATTTAGAGGGGAATGGAGCGTACAGTTCTGGGACGCAAAGGTCAGTGTCCTGAAGGAGGAGAGCTTGGCTACAGAGCACATCCAGGACCTGGTCCCATCATTAACAATCGCTTCCCTCAGTGACTCGGCTTTAAGAGGAAGTGTCATTCTGAGAAGTTAAATTGCTGGGATCTGAGCCATCAAAGTCAATGCAGACTTTGTTCATCCTGGGGAAGAGCACAAGGTGCTGGTTTTCACACCATGTGCCAGGGCAGCGTCTGCCCACCCTCACCAGCCGAGAGAAAAGCAAACATCTGGGGTCAGATTTTCCAAAGTGCTCTGCACCCAGCAGTTCCCAGCGGGGCAAGGGAAAAGGGAGCAGCTAGTGGGGGAAGAACTGCCATGGGAACTCTCTCCAGATCTCAACAGGAGATGGGGCAATGGGGGAGAACTCTGTCCTGCTCTCACTGGGGTACTGGGTGCTAACGTCTCTTTGTATCTACAGAAAAAAAAACCCACCTCGTTTATACAAACACAAGGCAACAGCACAGATTATGCCTTCCACTGCCCCTGGGGCGCGCGTGTGCGTGCTTGTGCACAATGCAACCACCTTAAAGTGGACAGCGTTTAGATGCTCTCAGGGGGATGGTTTTTCAGTCACCTTTGCAACCAGAATTTCCATTTCGCAGAACCTTCTGACTTTTTGAAAAAATTTCCATTCCGAATCTGACCCAAAAGCTGAAATTTCAACATTTCTTATTAAACAAAAATTATTAAAAATATCCATTTGGGACCATCAGCACGGTTTGTATGATATTAACATATTAAATATTATATGCCTATGTAATATTGTAATACAAAAGTCAAAACAAAATGTTTAGACTTTTTCCTGTCAAAAATAATTCATGGAAAGCAACAGGTTCCTGCAACACCTTTAGATTTCAATGAAACTGCATTTTGACAGCAACCGTTCCATCAGAAAAACACTGACTGCCTTTAGTCACTTTACCTTGTCTCAAGGAACCCATCCAACTCCCAGCAACACCACTGGCCAAACTCCCACTGAGAGCAGGACTGGCCCCTGAGTTTACAGCCCCTTAACCCTTTTCCCAACCCCCACCCAAGCAATTACCCCCTTCCATGCTAGTCTCACAGCTAGAATTACATTGCAGGTTCCCCCACCCCCCACGGGTACTGTGGCCCTGGAAAAATAATAAACACAATAACAACATGCTTTGTGTCATTACATCCAGCATGTAACTTGAACACCTCACTGGGCACTGAGACACACCTGGGAGAGTGCAAACATCCCTCTGTGAATAGTTCATTCCCCAAACACTGCAAGTGGGTTTCAGAGTGATAGCCGTGTTAGTCTGTATCAGCAAAAAGAACAGGAGTACTTGTGGCACCTTAGAGACTAAGACCTTGGCTACACTGGTGCTGTCCAGCGCTGCAACTTGCTGCGCTCAGGGGTGTGAAAACGCCCCCCCCAAGCGCAGCAAGTGCAGCGCTGTAAAGCTGCTCGCTCGCAGCGCTGCAAGCTATTCCCCTCGGAGAGGTGGAGTACATACAGCGCTGCGAGAGAGCTCTCGCAGCACTGGCAGCGCGACTACACTCACGCTTCACAGCGCTGCCGCTGCAGTGGTGCCGCAGCAGCGCTGTGAATCCCCAAGTGTAGCCAAGGCCTCACAAATTTATTTGAGCATAAGCTTTCGTGGGCTAAAGCCCACTTCATCAGCTGCATGCAGTGGAAAATACAGTAGGAAGATAGATATATATATACAGAGAACATGAAAAAATGGGTGTTGCCATACCAACTCTAACGAGACTAATCGATTAAGGTGGGCTATTATCAGCAGGAGAAAAAAAACTTTTGTAGTGATAATCAGGATGGCCCATTTCAAACAGTTGACAAGATTGTTACACTGATGGGGGTAATGTTATGGTAGCAGCTAGAGGCCTTGACAGAGATCGGGGCAACCAGGCACTGCAGAGAGTGAGATGGTTGCTGCCCCAAAGAACGTACAAGCTTCACAGCAAGGCAGGGGAAGGGCAATAGGGGAAGCAGAAGCAGACAGAGGAGGAGATGATTTGCCCAAGGTCCAGCAGGAAGTCAATGGCAGGCTGGAAATAGAACCCAGGAGTCCTGCTCCCAGTCCACTGTCTGATCAATTGGACCTCGTTGCACAGATAACGTTAAGTGGTACTTGTACGCCAAGAGTGCTGCAGATTTCACTTTTGCCCAGTGTGCCCAGGGAATAAGCTGAAATATCCCAAAGGCTGCAGCCCTAAAGGGTCCTACCCCTCGCAGACCAGCTGCAGAGTAGAGAGCTGCTGTAGGCAGCTCCAGACACCTTCAGCCAGGAACAGAGAAACCAAGGATGCAGAGTGAGAATAACCCTTTGATTTTCACATGTCCCCTTTCCTGTCTAGGGTAACAGTGCATTTACCTTCAGCGGAGATTATTTATCTGACATGTTTTTGGGGAACACCAGCTTCTCCCCTGACTACTACAACGAGAGTGACACCTGCTGCTCTGTGCCACCCTGCACCTCCAAGAGCATCCAGGCCTTTGACAGGGTCTTCCTGCCAGTCCTCTACAGCCTGCTATTCCCACTGGGGCTATGCGGGAACTGCATGGTGATGGCTGTGCTACTGCAGTGCAAGAGGTCCCTGGCTGGGACCGACGTGTTCATCCTCAACCTGGCGCTTGCCGACGTACTGCTGGTGGTGACACTCCCCTTCTGGGCAGTGCAGGCCGTGCACGGCTGGGTCTTCAGCACTGGCATCTGCAAGCTGGTCGGCTCCATCTTCAAGATAAATTTCTACTCCAGCATCTTCTTCCTGGTGTGCATCAGCTTCGACCGGTACCTCTCCATCGTCCATGCCGTGCACATGTACAAGAGGAACAAGTCGCATCTGATGGTGGCCAGCTGCCTGGTGGTCTGGGGCGTCTGTGTCCTCTTAACCATGCCAGATTTCCTGTACCTGGAAGTCAAGAAGGACTATCGCCTCAACATCACTTTGTGCTCCCACAACTTCTCCATCAGCACCTCCCTGCACTGGAAAACGGCCCTGCGCATCTGCTACCACATGTTGGGCTTCTTCCTGCCCCTGGCAGCCATGCTGTACTGCTACACCTGCATTATTCACACTCTGCTGCGCTCCCAGGGCTTCCACAAGCACAAGGCCATGCGGGTCATCCTGACAGTGGTGGTGGTTTTCTTCGTGTGCTGGACGCCCTACCACCTGGCCCTGCTGGCAAACACGCTGATCGACCTGCAGGTGGTGGGGCGGGACTGTGCCAGGGAGGCCAGCCTGGACATCGCCATGTCTGTCACTGCCAGCCTGGGCTACTTCCACTGCTGCCTCAACCCCCTGCTCTACGCCTTTGTTGGCATCAAGTTCCGCAACAAGTTCCTGGAGCTGCTGGGCCACGTGGGCTGCGTGAGCCACGAGTTCCTGCGCAGACACGTACAGACACCGAGCCAGCGCAGGGATTCCACCTGGTCGGAGACCACTGAGGCCTCCTACTCAGGGCTCTAGGGGGAGCTGGGGCTGCAAGGGGCAAACCCCTTCCCAAAGAGGTGTGGGGGAGCTGGGGCTGCAAGGGGCAAACCCCTTTCCAAGGGGGCAGGGAAGGGGTGAAACGTTCCCCAAGGGGCAGGGAATGGGAGACAAGCAGTCACTATAATCATAGCCAGACACAGCCCGACACCTGTGGTTACCCAGCCTCCTGTGCAGCTCACCACAAGCAGGAGTGCAGGAGCGGAGAGACTCAGAATGAGCTGGGAAGAAACAGTAGCAGATTTCTGACGGGTTGGAGCGATCGCCGAATCTCTGTGGATTGTAGGTGCAGGTGCCAGAGGGTGTACACGTGGTTTCCGAGCAGGCCATGGGTCTGTCCCTTCCTCTAAATCAGTTACCAGGTGCCAAGTGCTGAGCCGTTTCAGTCAATGCAGTGAGGCTGCATTGTCAGGAGCTTTAGATCATCATAACAAGAGAGTCTGGAAGTTTCTACTGAGGATATTAGTCTGGCAGGGACAGATGGGGCCAGGTCCTGCAGCAGGGGCAAGCCAATGCTGCAATCTAACATCCCCGGTACATACTGGCTGCACACAACAAAGGGACTCACTGATCTCCGCAAAAAACAGCACTTGGATCAGAGTCCCTGACTCAGCCCAGTGTTCACTCCTCCAACACCCTCCCTGCTCTCTGCACCCCTTATGCTTACAACGATAGCCCCACTATTTGTCTGACAGTAGCATCTAGGAGCTCTAATCATGGAGGTGGCCCACATCAAGCAAGGCACCGTACAAACAACAGAACAAAAACAGGCCCTGCCCCACCGGCCAATGACTTTCCTCTTCCAGTTCAAGTCCTTGCTGAGACGCTCACAACCAAACACACACCCAGCCCTACATAACCTCCCCCAAACACACACATTCCTCACAGCCCCACACCTCCCCCAAACACACTCATCTCTCCCACTCCCCATTGCCCCCCAATACGCACACTCAAATAACGGCAGGGGCAATCCCCATGCTGCTTGGTAGCGCGACAACCCTTGGTGTGTTAGACCCATCCTGTCTAACTGAGAGGGTGAGCTCTGTGGAGCCATAACACCGTCTGCATTTGTGCCCCGCCCTGAGCCCCCTCCCCACCCCTCACCCCCGATCAAGGTGTCTCCGCGCAGCCTCCCCAGACTGTTCCGCCCCTGGCAATTGCTGCATTAACACTTAAGCGAAGCTTTTTGCTGCGAGAATAGTCTGTGTTCTCTAGCCAAACGGAGCATTATTGAGAGCACCCCCTGCACCCTTCCCTTCTCTGTCCCTCGTCCCATGGGGCAGGGTTACTCTGCACAGGCCCCCAGCAGTACTGAGAGTAGAAGCATCAGCTTGTAGCCCAGGCAACAGTGACTTTGCTCCCGGTTCAGACTGTGTTTGTATTTCATTAACAAATGCAAACAGGCTTCAGCCTGTGCTGAGCAAAGGAGTCCCTGCAGGTGACTCTCTCCTGCCCGCCCCTGGGGTGAACAGGGATGATTCTCACTGGCTGTTGCCCAGTCTTAGGAAGGATACCCTATAGGCAGACAAAGATAACTCAGGGCTGCCGTTCTGTGCAAACTTCTCCAGCTGTGGGGAAAGGATCCAGGAATGGCAACTGTCAGGGACTCTGCATCTCTCAAGGATGTGGGAACACTCCAGGAGAGCATGATGCTGCAACAGCATGAACACAGACACATTAGCAATGTAAGGAGAGCAGTGGGGTGAAGGTGAAGCAGCATAAGAAACTCCGCAGCCACCCAAAGCCCAGCAGGGGTCTCCTCTCCTATCAGGGGCAATCACTTTATATTCTAGTGCTTTGTAGCATTTGCTCCTGCTTGAAAGGTTATTTCATATGACTCGTATGTTGCACTTTCACAGAGGTTTATATTTTCTTGTGCATTTTATTCCCAATAAAAAATTAATAACCATTCTAATCTGACACAGAGTTTGTTTGTTTTCTAAAACACATTTATCAACCAACTTGGTTGAGCAACGTAAGGAGCAATGGCCTACAGGTGCTTTCAGGCAGGAAAGAGTGAGTTATCCTGTTTCCCACTTAGGGGATATTGCAGAGAGTGGAGTCTGCATGTTACAACTCTGTGTGCTGCTGGAACAGAAACAAGAGCTTGTGCCTCTACTTCGGCTGGCAGACCTCCCTGCCGTATTGGGTAGGGCCAAGTGACAGAGTGGCTAAAACACCGGCAGCCCCCTGGAGCTGTCTCAGCCCATGCTCCCAGCAGTGCTATCAGGAACAATGCTGAGCTGTGGTATCAGTGGGGGGCAACTTTAGCCAAGAAAGTCAGAGAGGGACCAGTGATTCTGAGCTGCAGTTTGTCTCCCCAATTCTTCCCCTGCTCAGGAACCAGCACAAACTCTGGCCAGATATTCCTCAATTCCCAAATTGCTCCTGAAGAGAGTCAACAAGAGCCAGGATTAGCCCCAGTGTTAACCCCATTATGGCAGGCAGGGATCAGAGACAGGTCTCCTTTTCTGGGCTACTTTAGTACCATCTTATGGGCTGCATCAGGCACTGCCGGTCCCCAAGCCATATTATCTATCATGTCTCCTGGGCGCCTGCAGTGCTCTGCAGAAAGAGGAAACCACTGTCTGCTCCAGAGAGGTTTCAACAGTACATCGGCATGTGCTGCACATATCAAAGTGCATTACTGACAGGACTGCCTTGAGACTCAAAACCACAGACAGCCCCAGGGGGAGGAGCCCATCAGGACAGCAGCCGTTTTGGTAGGTAACGGCAGGAACTTTATGGTTTGTTTCAGGTTTTTAATTGACGTTTTAACAGATTCATTAAAAATGTCAAAATAAACCATAGGCAGCCTGGCTGAGCAGGGCATGCTGGAGCCAACGGCAGGGTCTGTGGGGCAGACAGGGGTCCATGGGCAGTGAGACAAGGTGGGGTGAGAAGGGTCTGTAGGGCACAGGACCCAGAGGTGGGTATGGGTGGGAGCAAGGTCTGCAAGGCACAGGACCCAAAGACAAGCGTCAGGTGGGAAGCAGGGTCCATGGGGCACAGAACACTGAGACAGGTTGGGGGAAGGGGGAGGGATCCATATGACATGCTCCCCTGAGCTTTTGACAGTCCCTCTGGGTGACCAGTTTGTGACTTCATAGGAGGGTGGCAGCACAGCCAGCCGGGGGGCCAAGCTGATGAGACAGGGAGGAGTGTGGGCACCCTCTTCCCCACCACAAAGGTTAGCGCTGCCTCGGTAACATTAACCACATGATCCACGCCCACCACCCCTGGAGTGTGGTTTGGGGACCAACAGCAGCCCAGCCCCTGAGCTCATGCCTCTGCAGGCACAGACAGTAGGCTCCTGACAGCTTTGTACTTTCCCTGGTGGGCAGGACGATGGCAGAAAATGACAAGTGAAGCCAACAAGGCTCAAACATGCTCCAGCACACTATCGCTAAACTGTTCACAAGCGACATTTGCCCTGGGAAGCATCCTGAAAACTGATGTAACAGGGCTCTTGCTAGATGCATGAGCTAACTACCTGACCACGTTAGCCACAACTAGCTGTTCTATAGTTAACACCCCGCCCATGTGCCTCACGTTTCCCCAAGAGACCAGTGTGACGGTCACACTGTGACCATATCAGCACAAACATTTCCGGTTTAAACCTGTTGACAAAGGACCGAGCCTAGAGTGGGGGGAAGGGAGAGGAGCGGATTATCACTCCACCTTCTCTTCAGGGGTAACTTCTGAAACAGGAACTAGTGGGGGGGAAACAGCAGCAAAGAGAGAGAAAAGCCGCTATATCAGCTTCAGGGGAAAGCGAGTGCAGGGCAGAGAGGTGACATCCCACATTCCACCTAGACTAGGGGCCAGGATTTCACCTACAGGCCAGGGACCTGGATGCAGCCAGCAGCTCACTGTCCCCCTGGGACATGCGCAGCACCTGGACACTATGGGAAGCCTGCGATGGCTCAGCAGGCTACACAGGGCATGGAAATCCTCAGGCTGGTGCCTCGTCCTACCTCCTACTGAGTTCCCCTAACATAAGATCCAACCTGGAAAGGACGTATGTACATGAGCAGCATCCCCAAAGGAATCCATCCTGACAAACTCACTGCAACTGCCTCATGTGTGAGAAGCATCCTCAATGGGCCATTCATTCCCAGCCTGCCACCCGCGATGGGGCTCTTCCCACTCAACCTACCACGTTCCAAACAGGGCCTTTCCACAGATCCCAACATGTCCTCGATGTCACACGAGCAGCATCCCCAATGGGGCCTTTCCACAGATCCCAACATGTCCTCAATGACACATGAGCAGCATCCCCAGTGGAGCCTTTCCACAGATCCCAACATGTCCTCGATGTCACACGAGCAGCATCCCCAATGGGGCCTTTCCACAGATCCCAACATGTCCTCGATGTCACACGAGCAGCATCCCCAATGGGGCCTTTCCACTGATCCCAACATGTCCTCGATGTCACACGAGCAGCGTCCCCAATGGGGCCTTTCCACTGATCCCAACAATTCCCCAATGACACATGAGCAGCGTCCCCAATGGGGCCTTTCCACTGATCCCAACACGTCCTCGATGTCACATGAGCAGCGTCCCCAATGGGGACTTCCCACCAATCCCAGCACATACCCAACAACTCGCCAGCAGCATCCCCAAGGGGGCCTTCTTGCTGAACCCAACACATCCCTAATGACAGGTTTCAGAGTAGCAGCCGTGTTAGTCTGTATCCGCAAAAAGAAGAACAGGAGTACTTGTGGCACCTTAGAGACTACCAAATTTGAGACTAATAAATTTGTTAGTCTCTAAGGTGCCACAAGTACTCCTGTTCTTCTTTTTACATCCCTAATGGGCTCTTCCCACTGAACCTAACTCGCCCACTATGATGCTCAAGCAGCGACCCCAGTGGTCTTTCCCATCAAACCCAGCAATGCATACAAGTAACAATATTCACATGCACAAACCTTTGCAAGCTCTTTGGGGCAGGGACTGTCTCACTCTGTGTCTGTGCAGCACCCAGCACAACGGGACCCCGGTCTGTCCTGGAGCCTGCACAGCAATCTGCAATGCCCTCCTCCCCAGTCTCACTGTTTGTACAGTGCCTGGCACAGTGTGGGCTGAATCTCACCTGGGGTTTGTGCAACACCCAGTGCAATTTCCCCTTCCCCCCTCCAATCTCAGCATCTATGTGGTGCCCAGTGCAGTAGGGGGTCTTCAATTGGTACTGGGACCCTCGAGGCACTTCCATAACCCAAATTATTAAATCCCAAATTGATCCAGTCCTGGATCTACCCAGCCTAGCACTGCATTAGCCCAGAGGGAGGAAAGTGGAGCTGTGTACGGCAAGGATGATGTACCTTCCAGGGGACATGCTGATAAGGAGGGTGCACTCAGGGCTGATTGCTTGTAAAACAAAAACGCACCACAGTTTCGGAATCAGTGCTGCTCGGTGTTTAAGTTGGCATTTTGGACAATTACACTGACACACACTGAGGGTATGTCTACACTACGAAATTAGGTCGAATTTATAGAAGCCGGTTTTATAGAAATCGGTTGTATACAGTCGATTGTGTGTGTCCCCACATAAAATGCTCTAAGTGCATTAAGTCGGCGGACCGCATCCACAGTACCGAGGCTAGTGTCGACTTCCGGAGCGTTGCACTGTGGGTCGCTATCCCACAGTTCCCGCAGTCTCCACTGCCCATTGGAATTCTGGGTTGAGATCCCCATGCCTGATGATGCAAAAACAGTGTCACAGGGAGTTTTGGGTACATGTCGTCAGGCCCCTCCCCCTCCATCAGAGCAATGGCAGACAATCGATTTGCGCCTTTTTACCTGGGTTACCTGTGCAGACGACATACCATGGCAAGCATGGAGCCCGCTCAGCTCAGCTCAGCATCACCATATGTCATCTGGGTGCCGACAGATGTGGTACAGCAGCTAATGGCCTTTCGGCAGTAGATGGTGCAGTATGACTGGTAGCCTTCATCGGCTATCTGGGTGCTGGCAGACGTGGGGCTGCATTGCTATACAGCAGCAGCTCCTTTCCTTTTGGCAGTAGATGGTGTATTACAATTGGTATCCATCATTGTCATATTCCTCACTGAGTTTGGTCAGAGGCACCTGGGCAGACATGTTTTGTCTC